TGTACTACATATTCTATAACCATTCTTCCCTTGAGGGACGTCTGCGTTGTTTCAGCTTTTGGCTATTATAAATAAAACTGCTATGAACATAGTGGAGCATGTGTCCTTGTTATATGCTGAAGCATCTTTTGAGTATATACTCAAGAGTGGTATAGCTGCATCTTCAGGTAGAAATATTTCCAATTTTCTAAGGAATGACCACGTTAATTTCCAAAGTGATTATAACAGCTTGCAATCTAACCAGCAATGGAGGAGTGTTGCTCTTTTTCCCCATCCTTGCCAGCATCTGCTGTCACCTGAGAATTTGCTCTTAGCCATTGATGTAAGATAGAATCTCAGTGTCATTTTGATTTGCATTTCCTTGATGACTAAGAACTTTGAACATTTCATTAGGTGCTTCTTGGACATTTGAAATTCCTCAGTTGAGAATTGTTTGTTTAACTCAGTACCCCATTTTTTTTAAAAAAATTGGGTTATTTAGAGTCTAACTTCTTGAGTTGTTTGAATATTTTTGATATTAGCCCTCTAACATATGTAGGGTTGGTAATGACCTTTTCCCAATCTGTGGGTTTTTTTTTTTTTGTCTTATTGACACTCTCCTTTGCCTTACAGAAGCTTTTCAGTTTTATGATGTCTCATTTATCAATTGTGATCTGAGAGCCAGAGCTAGTGGTATCCTGCTCAGGAAAATTTCCCCTGTGCAGATGTATTTAAGGCTCTTTCCTACTTTCTCTTCTACTAGATTCAGCATATCTGGTTTTATGTGGAGGTCCTTGATTCACTTGAACTTGAGCTCTGTACAAAGAAACAAAAATGGATCAATTTGAATTCTTCTACAAGCATACTGCCAGTTGAACGAGCACCATTTGTTGAAAAATGCTTTCTTTTTTAATTGTATGGCTTTGGGTTCTTTCTCAAACGTCAAGTGTTGATAGGTTTGTGGGTTTACTTTTGAGTCTTTAGTTCTATCCCATTTATCTACCTATCTCTGTACCAATACTAAGCAGTTTTTAGCACTATAGTTCTGTAGTACAGCTTGAGGTGAGGGTTGGTGATACCCCCAGCAGTTCTATATATCTGTGTGTGTGTGTGTTGGGAGTCAACTCCTAGCAGAAAGCGGCTATCATCTTTGCAGCCATCTAGAGCCATATACTCTGACAAGAAACTTGTTTTCAACAGCCCAAAATATCTGAGCACACTCTGATAAACATCTTGTTTTTCTCACATGTCTTGTTTTGCTGTTTAGTGCCCCTAGCTGCAAGGTGCATGTGATGTCCACGCTACAAGGCACACGTTGTATCCATGGCTACCAGGCACATGGCAAAGCACCTTCAGCTGTGTTTTCCTGCTTGTCCACTATGGCAAGTCATGTGGTAAAGAGTATATATACCCAGGATTTCCTTTCAATAAAAAAGACTTGATCAGACCCTCTGTCTTGTCTCCATTCTTTGTGTTTCTTGCCCCTCCTTCCCCACTCTCTCTCTTACTAGACCCTGTTGACTAACTAGAACAGACCAGGCTGGTACAGAATGGCCCCCAAACGTGGGGCAGAACTGGCTGGTACATAGTGGCGCCTCAATGTTGGAGCTCTAGTAAGCGGGATACGGTAAAGGACACCGTGGGAATTGGAAACGTGCATCCTCACTCCTGCACTGGAGAACCTGTTGACGGATGGAGCTGGCTTGAGCTTGGTGCTCAATGCTAGGCAGCAAGAATGAGAGATTCAGTGAGGGATGTTACTGGAAGAAATGTCTGCAGAAAATTCAGAGGTGAAACAAAGGTGATCGCTGCAGGAACCTGCCATGTCGAGACCAGTAGGTCATAGTAATGAAAATGGAGCAAGAAATAAGTCTGCAGGAACAGATAAAAAAGGCTTTAAAGACATGAGAAGTAAATTGCAGGCTGCTCTAAGTCACGAGAGCCAAACAGATAAGTAGATAAATAGAAGGTTGCTCTAGGCAGAGAGCTGAACAGAAAGATAGTGTTAATCAGTGGTATTAGATTGATTTAACTTTCAAAATGGGTGTGATTCTGAGTTGTGTAGTTATATTTTTCACCTGGATAAAAGGCCATTGTAAAGGCTTTTCTGGTTACTGGTTCAAGGATAAGCAGATTTGGGAAAAAGGTTTTTTTTATGTGTTTTCCGAAGAGGTCATTAAGGTAGTAGTTATATCTTCCAGAATTATATGGATCAGACATGACAGAGGTAGGCCTCCAGAAGATTAGATTCCAGAGAATCAAACAAAATGATTATCTTGATACTGAAGTGTGTTTTGAGATTTGTATATTACAGAATACACAGCCTTGGTGAATGACTCTTCTTGTCACCTGCATGTCCACTGATATCCTGGAGTTCCAGCTGGATATAGTGAAAACAGACATCAGAGGCTTATCAATTTAAACTTCCCTTTATCCCTCTTCTAATATCTCAACACTCATATTCAGCTTGAAGAAGTTAATGAAGAGTCAGTGCCCCAATTCCCTGGACTTGGGGACTAAGGTGGTTAATATTGGGTTGTCTTTCTAGGGAAAAGTAATAGTTTTATTGGAACAGGGAGAAAGAGCTAAATGATTACACAGTCATATTCTATTGGTAGAAATCTGTATAATTGTTGATAAGCTGATGCAAATTCAAGGGTTTCATTGGCATAATTTCTTCTATTAATTCAAAATTTGTGGGTACAAGGCTTAGACCTTTAACTTCTCAAACAGGGGAAGTTGTGTACTGCCCTTAAAAAAAATGTTGCTTTTATACCAACCATTCAGGCATTGTTAAGTCTCTTGTCTGTCAGGTTCATGCTGTTCAACAGACTGATGGCTTTTGTATGACAACAGATAGACACTATTCAAATGAAACCCATACAGGTCTGTTAATACAGGCTGGAAGTAGGAGATTCTAAAACCTCTGTCATCAAGACTGATGAAGATTAACTCCTAACTTATGCGCTAAGCTGGAAAGTCAATGACGGGTAAGAGAACACCTTAAGACCCTTGCCCCTATCTGGGAGGCCCATCCTAAGACAGGAGCTCAACCAATGGCTGTTGAGTATCCAGAATGAGAAAGGGAGACTGGGGTTCTTTGTTCCAACCTAAGGTAGGCATGGTTTCCATAAGTTTTCCCAGCCTTCCCTTTTGAAAAAAAAAAAATTAAAAAGAGGGACCTGTTGGGAGCCAACTCTGAGCAGAAAGCAGCTATCATCTTTGTAGCCATCTCAGGCCATATACTCTGACAAGAGACTTGTTTTCAACAGCCCACAACAGCTGAGCACACTCTGATAAACATCTTGTTTTTCTCACATATCTTGTTTTGCTGTTTAGTCCCCCAGCTGCAAGGTGCATGTGGTATCCATGCTGCAAGGTGCATGTGGTATCCATGGTTACAAGGCACATGGCAAAGCACCTTCAGCTGTGTTCCCCTGCTTGTCCATGAGGGCAAAGCATATGGTAAAGCATACATATACCCAGAAGACCCTCTGTCTTGTCTGCATTCTTTGTGTCTCTTGCCCCTCCATCCCAACTCACTTTCTTGCTAGACCCTGATGTGCCGACCAGAGCAGGAGTTCAGGCCAGGATATATGT